AATATTTTGTGCCTTTGATCTAGCTCTAAAAGTGTGGTGTTACCTCTCTTTACAGGAGCTCTGGGCTGAAGAAATTTGAAGAAGCTTGAAGCCCGACAAAGTAAAGAGTAGCGAGTTAGTAGTGCTAGTTATGTTGTACAGTGGCTAGCATATCTGGTTGTATGAACACTATTGTAAATACTGTAATCTCGTATGTTGTACATTAGTCAGCATATTTGGTGCTAATATTGGCTATCATTTTAACAGTTTAGTATGTTCTCTTGCCATTTGAAATATTTTTCATTTGTTTATTGTGAAAGTGAGAAATAGAAAGATGACCAGTGGGACAAACGAAAAGGCCAAGGCCCAAAAAGTATATGGAATGTAAAAAGGTCGAGGCCCAAAACAGAAATGGACTATAAAAGGGTTGAGGGCGAAAAAATGGACTATGAAAGGCAATGGCCAAGAAAAAAAACACTGAATTGCTGGGCTAGACCCATGTAGCTAGTAAAAAATAACAGGAAAAAATATATATAAAGGCTGAATTGTTGGGCTCGGCCCATGTAAAACACCTAATTGGACCGGGCTGAATCTTATCAACGACCTTTTCAATTGGTCGCAATTTTGCCACGTCAGATCGCCACGTCGGATCCGACGTGGCCTGGGCAGACAGCCAGTGACCAAAACAAAAGGTCATGGGTTCAACGACCTTCTGTTTTGTTCGTAAATGTCTACGACCTTCTCACAGAGAAGGTCGTTAATTTTAGTTTACGACCGCCAGCTTTTGACCTTCTGCTTTTTGTCACAGAAAGGTTGCAAATGAAAAACTATGACCTTTCAGCGGCCAATAGTGAGGGTCATAAGTTGACATATTTCTTGTAGTGGGTACCCGCGAGGTTTCTACGTGGCATGGCCGGGCATTCCCGGCCCTTGCCATAAGTCCAGGAGACGGGGCGACGGGGTCACATGATCGTGAGTCTCTGCTCGTTACCGCGTGCTCCCAAGACATTAATGGATTTGGGTATTTGATCTGAGTTGGCCACTGGCTTATACACACTAACCGCCACGTGGGACAAGATATGGGCAACCGGCATTGTAGTATCAGCCGAAGCTTTCCAGACGTCAGCGACTAAGCGGCGCGCGTCGGGTTGGACCGCGTAAAGCAACCGCCTTTGTAATGGAGGTTGCCAGGTTTGCTCGCCGGCCACCCACGCAACATGCAGGAGTGCAAACAGCGATGGGCCCAAGACCCCTGCGCGCTTAGGATTTAGACCGGCGTGCCGACCTCTCTGTTGGGCCTAGGTAGGGTTGTGACGTGTTGATCTTCTGAGGTCGGGCATGACCAAGGAAAGTGTGTGAGGTCAGAGTGATCGAGCATGTCGGGTAATGTGGCGCATCCCTGAAGGGAAGTTGATCTATTCGAATAGCCATGTCCAAGATAACAGGATGACTTGGAGTTGTATCCCGATCTTTACAATTAGAACTAGATACTGAGGTGTGGAATGGATATGATGACTTCGGGATGGCTTTCTCGCAGGGAGTCAAGAAAGGATCTCTGGGCGTTATTGCTACAATATGCTTGCTAATTATAAAATGCTATTCCGTACTCTTCTAAATGATGTAAGATGGTGGCTTTAAGAAGATGCTAGTCTTCAATACGCTAGGCTTTTCCCTCTATTCTGGCATGCTGCAGATCAGTCCACAGATACTACCCATTTCATTCATACCGATGCATATGTAGTGTAGATCCTTACTTGCAAGTACTTTGGATGAGTACTCACAGTTGCTTTGCTCCCTCTTTCCCTCTTTTTCAATTTTTCTCGGATGCCGCAACCAGATGATGGAGCTCAGGAGCCAGATGCCATCGACGATGACTACCACTACTCCGAGGGTGCTTACTACTACGTGCAGACCGCCGACGACCAGGAGTAGTTTAGGAGGATCCCAGGCAGAAGGCATGCGCCTCTTCGATCTATATCCTTGTTTGTGCTAGACATCTTATGCCACCTTGTTTAACTTTATATCTGTATTCAGATATTGTTGCTTCTGCTAACTTGTTTGTATTCGAGCTGATGTATTCGAGTTCTCGAGGCCCCTGGCTTGTAATATAAAGTTTGTATTATTTTAATTTGTGTATAGAGTTGTGTTGTGATATCTTTACATAAATCTCTGATCTTAATCATATACATTTACATGTATAATTAGTATATGATTGACTTGGGGGTGTCACAGTACCTCCAGCTGTGAACACTTTGAAAATCAAAATTCCGATGTTGTTTCCTCTGTGAGCGGGTAGAGTTGGAGTGCGGTGGCCCGTAATCATAGGGGTGAGGTTCTTTAATTTCTCCATCGACCGGATCTAATTCGGATACTTGCAAGGACATAGAGGAAGCCGGAGCCGGGGCCATTCTGGTCGGCCTGTCAAACCTGTCATTTATGCACCAAGGGCCGGTAAAATTCAGTAGATCAAGTCTGGATGTCAAAGTGCAAACTTAGCATAGCTCAGATGGTTAGGTTCCGTGTGGTGTAACCAACTCATCAAGTTTAAGTCCTGCACTTGGCATTGATGCTCGCATTTTTCTGCATTTATTTCACATTTTTCGGTGATGTTCAGTTTATGAAAGAACATGTTTTCGTCAACAACGAGACACACGTGATGCCTTCGTCAATCTCAAGATATTGCACCGGGTCAATATCTCGGAGGTGCTAAAAAAGATAGGGTGTGCGCGCTTGTGTTCATTGAATTATGTGTGTGTGATCATCTGTGATAGTAATTTGTTCAAAGAAAAAATCTGGCGTTTGCGTCCCTGTTATCAATCACACAGAAAGTCTCAAAATCACTTTGCTTGGTCATCAGAAAATTGAAAATGCAGCTGATGAGGCGGTCCAGTGTACGCCCGAATTTTATTGAGAGCCATTAACGGAATCTGACGTGTAGGAGCGGTGCCGACAGTACGTCCTCGCAACCAACCCACAGTTTTGATCGGGTCCGTGCCGCTATCGAGAGCAGCAAAAAAAACGCCAAGTTGCTTTCGTCCATAAAGCAGCATTTATCCAACGCAGAAAAGCAGGAGGGTGCTGAATGAACGGATGCTTCCTTCGAAATGCAGCATCGATCTATTGCTAGCATGTATTGCTGTCTAGGCCATGAAAATATGCAGAAATTCGTTTTGGCACATGGGAGCACGTGCTCCTGCCAACAATATTTCAAAGTGTGAAAAAATTCGAACAAAAATTTGGCACATACATCTTGACATTATATGTGTACACGTCAAGTTTCGGAGAAAATCAACATTTTTTGTAGCTTGTGTAAAAAACAAAAAATATTCGTGAAAAGCACTTTTTAACACCAGATTTTGTCTTTTTTCACACACAACATATAATTTATAGATTTTTTACGAAACGACTTTGTGAGTATGTACAATATCAAGATGTATGCGCCAAATTTTTATTTAGAATTTTTTGACATTTAAAAATACGTTTAAAACACATTACAAACCAGAAGTGCGCTCTCCCGCGTGCCAAAACACCACTCTAGAGCCCGGTAAGTTGGAGCAATGCACTCGAAATCCTAAAATGCAGAAAAAGCATTGCTCTATCTATTCTTTCTCCAAGTTCATCCTCACATCCAGTGTCATTTTTCCAGAAGTATCCAACTTAACATAAGCATGCCTTTTCACAATTATTAACAACTAATATCGGAAGAATCCAACCTCACACACGGACGAACGAATACCGGATTCAAGCAGATCCACCGAAGACAAATGCAGTCCAAACCTCACGAGATCCGCCGGAGACACAACTCTAATAAACCCTCCGATGATGCTAGAAGCACCACCTGGATGGAGGCTATGCAAGGAGAACCTTATTCCATTTTTAGAAAGACGCCACCGCCTCGTCTTCCTGAGCATGACACAAACCCTAAAAATACCTAAGAACGGAGCCCTCTCGTCAACAAGGGTCGGGTCCACCGCGCCTCCATGGTCCTAGGACCATAGGAGGCGAGGTGGACCGGCGCCGCCGGCGAGAGGCTAAGAAAACCCTAGCGAGAGTCGCATGGGTCTTTGCCTCTCGCACGAGAGAAAAACATAAGTACTATAACATCCAAATTGAGCTGAAATTAGTGCTTCCTTCTTTTTATTTACTCCACATATTAGCTTTGACTGAAGTCAAACTTTATAAAGTTTGACCAAATTTATAGAAAATAATATGAACATTTACAGTAACAAACTTATATGATGTGAAAATATATGCAATGATGAACTCGGTGATATATATTTGATGATGTATATGTTAATATATTTTTCTACAAACTTGTTGAAAGTATATAAAATTTGATTTTAGAAAACCTAATATACATAGTAAATTAAAACAGAGTGAGTCCTTACCAAAGTAACTAACTACTCCCTCCGTTTCTAAATATTTATCTTTTTAGAGATTTCAAATGAACTATCACATACGGATGTATATAAACATATTTTAAAGTGTAGATTCACTTATTTTGCTCTGTATGTAGTCACTTGTTGAAATTTTTAGAAAGATAAATATTTAGGAATGCAGAGAGTAGATTGCATAGTGGCGCCAAACAAAGCATAGCATAGTAGCGTCGAACATAGCATAGAGTTTTCGGAAAAGGGAATCTTCATAAAAATCGGTATACCGAGAGACGATAACCAAAACCCAGCCTTTGATGGAGCAGGTCCTGTAAGTGGAGCTGTTGCAAAACGATATAGCAACGCTATAGTTCACTATTTCTTCTTTCATGATTTGATATGCCACGTGCTTGTGTAACATCGCGCACATTAAAAGCCGCTAGTAATTCAAAGCACAACCCTGTTTTGTTCAACTTCCGCTCACAAGTCACAGCTTTTGGCGGTACAGAGTACAACCAGATCGAAAAGGCAGACTCCCGGCGTCCTCTCCTCCTACAAGCTTAAGAGCTAGCCGCGCTCACTCATCTCCGCTGCCACTCCATTCTTGCCACCACAGAGTCGTCAGGCAAGCGCGCAGCCCATACGTCAATGGAGAGGTCAAGGTCCTACTCAGAGAAGAGCAGCACCACAACCACCACCCCGGCCGGCGCTGTCACCGAGCTGAGGTGCTACAGTGCCTCCTACGTCACACCCAAGAAGGCAGCGGGCACCGCCAGCTGGCCTCCTTGCACCACGGCTTCTTCCTCGACGTCGGCGGCGGCGGCCGGCCCGAAGGCGAGGTCGTGGAGCGGCAGCTTCCGTAGCGCCCCGGCGGAGCTGCGGAGGAAGAGGAGGGTGGCCGGGTACAGGGTGTACGGCGTGGAGGGGAAGATGAAGGTGTCGCTCAAGAACGGCGTGAGGTGGCTCAAGGGCAAGTGCACCCAGGTGGTGGACGGCTTTTGGTGAACCCACCGAAGGTGCAGATCAATCGGCTTATTCTATTTTCTGCCTGGTGATCATTGCCGACTTGCCGTGATCCAAGAGGTGTCCGAACGTGAGTACGGTCACATTCTTCCTTTTGTCAGCTCTGGCGTCGTGTTTTTCCTCACATTTTAGTAAGAACATAAGTGGAAGGTTGCAGGAAAGAAGGGTAGCTGCAGACTGTCTTGACCATGCATACACACTTACTAGTATGCAACCAATGGATGCTTGGCTGTTCTTTAAAATGTACTATAAACTTGCTCTCGTGTGTGTGTCTGGGATGTTCATCTGGCCTGGACGGTTGCAAATAAACCAACCTATTTGATAGATGAGCAGGTTAGTTGCAAGGCACAATATAAAAAAAATGGTAGGCTAAGAGCATCCGTGATGCTCTCATGTTCGTCCAGGGTTTCGCCTGAAGCTTACAGCGCAACCGCCGCTTCTTTTTTTTCTTCTTCTTTTAAGGAAACTTCTGATATATCCATCTTCAATCATAACAGTACAACAAACACAAAAAATAATAATAATTACATCTAGATTCATATACCACCTAGTAACGACTACAAGCACTGAAGCAAGCAGAAGGCGCATCGCCATCATCGACCCTCCCTCGACGGAGTCAAGCATAATTTATTGTAGTAGACAGTCAAAAAGTTATCGTGCTAAGACCTCATAGAACCAATACACTAGAACAACAATCGCCGCTTCTTTTCAAGTTGGTCATGAAAAGTGCTTTTGACTTTGAGAGATAGGACTACATGTTGATTTGCGGGAGCAACTAACCACGATACCCTTAGGCCACTCCTAATGGTTATACCTTAGCATGATTTTAAGGTAAAAATCTTTTGTGGCATTGTTTTTTTCGACAAAGCATGAATTTTATTGACTTGAAATGAAGTTGCAAGGATACAAACACAATGAACACATGGCCAGCCTCTGATAGGTAGAATGTACATATCTAACACTGAGGATACACACAAATAAATATGCTGGCAAAGAGCAAAGTGCTATAAGACCAAATCTATGCCTAAGCGAGGAAAAAAAGAAACAAAGGGATCAAAACATCGATTGACAAACTACAGTAATGACCATATCCAAATCAACCATGTTTTGACTCACCAAGGACACAAGAAAGGTTCTTCAACTATAACATCTTTAGAAAGGGAATGATGCTCAAGCGCCGCCGGCACCGTATATCCAACCAACTAAGGCCAGATTCTAAGTTTTCACCCTGAAGAATAAGTTCAAGCATATCCAAGCAACGCCTTCCAAAAGGTAACGATGTAAAAACACTGTCATTGCTAGATAAAACCAACTCGAGTCAAGCTTAGGGTTTTCACCCTAGAACTCAAGACCTGGTACTTGAGGAGCTCCACCAAATCGAATTCAACAATGTGTTGTCACCACCACTTTTCACGATCACAACAACTACATGCACTGGGCTAGAAATCCCTTCGTCGCTGTTGCAAAACCATACCCTCTATGTCAAGCCATCGTCCATAGATTGCATCTCATTGCCGAATACAAAGTGACCAGAGTGAGGACCGCCAAAACCCGCAAAGAAACCATATGGATGCATCCCGCAACCATGCCAATACGAGCCGTTGACAGCAGCCACCAGATCTAGAGAGAGGAACCTTCACGAAGACTCTTCGATGTTGACCGCAGTTTTCAGCTCGAGTGGTCGGCCGGTAGGGTCACGGTCAGATCTTCAGCCCCAATCCTCACGAGCAGTCACTGCCATGAGCCAGCCGGATGATATGTCTCCGTCGTATCTACTTTTCCAAACACTTTTGCCCTTGTTTTGGACTCTAACTTTCATGATTTGAAAGGAACTAACCCGGACTAACGCTATTTTCAGCAGAATTGCCATGGTGTTATTTATGTGCAGAAACAAAAGTTCTCGGAATGACCTGAAACTCCACGGAGATTGTTTTTGGAAATAATAAAAATACTGGCAAAGAATCAAGGCCAGGGGCCCACACCCTAGCCATGAGGGTGGGGGCGCACCCCCTGCCTCGTGGGCCCCCTGGAGCTCCACCGATCTCAACTCCAACTCCATATATTCGTGTTCGGGGAGAAAAAAATAAAGGAGAAAGAATCATCACGTTTTACGATATGGAGCTACCGCCAAGCCCTAAACTCTCTCGGGAGGGCTGGTCTGGAGTCCGTTCGGGGCTCCAGAGAGAGGAATCCGTCGCCGTCGTCATCATCAACCATCCTCCATCACCAATTTCATGATGCTCACCGCCGTGCGTGAGTAATTCCATCATAGGCTTGCTGGACGGTGATGAGTTGCATGAGATTTATCATGTAATCGAGTTAGTTTTGTTAGGGTTTGATCCCTAGTATCCACTATGTTCTGAGATTGATGTTGCTATGACTTTGCTATGCTTAATGCTTGTCACTAGGGCCCGAGTGCCATGATTTCAGATCTGAACCTATTATGTTTTCATGAATATATGTGAGTTCTTGATCCTATCTTGCAAGTCTATAGTCACCTACTATGTGTTATGATCTGGCAACCCCAAAGTGACAATAATCGGGACCACTCCCGATGATGACCGTAGTTTGAGGAATTCATGTGTTCATTATGTGTTAATGCTTTGGTCCAATACTCTATTAAAAGGAGGCCTTAATATCCCTTAGTTTCCATTAGGACCCCGCTGTCACAGGAGGGTAGGACAAAAGATGTCATGCAGGTTCTTTTCCATAAGCACGTATGACTATATTCGAAATACATGCCTACATTACATTGATGAACAGGAGCTAGTTCTGTGTCACCCTAGGTTATGACTATTACATGATGAACCGCATCTGGCATAATTCTCCATCGCTGATCCATTTCCTACGAGCTTTCCATATATTGTTCTTCGCTTATTTAATTTTCCGTTCCTATTGTTATCATCACTACAAAATACCAAAAACATTACTTTTGCTACCGTTACCTTTTGCTATCGTTACCACTACTATCATATTACTTTGCTACTAAACACTTTGCTGCAGATATTAAGTTTCCAGGTGTGGTTGAATTGACAACTCAGCTGCTAATACTTGAGAATATTCTTTGGCTCCCCTTGTGTCGAATCAATAAATTTGGGTTGAATACTCTACCCTTGAAAATTGTTGCGATCCCCTATACTTGTGGGTTATCAAGACTATTTTCTTGCGCCGTTGCCGGGGAGCATAGCTCTATTCTTTGAGTCACTTGGGATTTATATCTGCTGGTCATTATGAAGAACTTGAAAGACGCGAAAACAAAAATTTATCCCTCAACTACGAGGGGAGGTAAGGAACTGCCATCTAACTCTGCACTTGATTCACCTTCTGTTTTGAGTAAGCTTGCGACACCTAAACCTGCTTCTGCTATTAATTCTGGTATGTCGCATATTATTGATGATGCCACTTCTGCTATGCATGATACTTATGATGAAACTACGTCTATGCTTGATACTACTGTACCACTTGGTGAATTTCTTGATGAACAACTTGCTAGGGCTAGAGAGAATAAAATTATTGAAACCGATAATATTGATGAAAGTGATGATGAAGGCTCTCCTAATAAATATGAATTGCCTATTATGCCTGAGGGCTATGTTATGGATGAAGAAACTAAAAGAGACTTTCTTGCATGCAATGATAGAAGTGATCTTAAGAAATTATTAGCTAAGCTTAAACAAAAAACTCTGAATGCTAGAATAAAATATGATCCTGCTTATGCTACTTCACCTATCTTTGTTACTGATAAGGATTATGAATTCTCTATTGATCTTGATATAATTACTTTGGTTGAATCTGATCCTTTTTATGGCTATGAATCTGAAACTGTTGTGGCACATCTTACTAAATTAAATGATATAGCCACCCTATTCACTAATGATGAGAGAACTCGCTACTTTTATATCCTTAAAATATTTCCGTTCTCATTAAAGGGTGATGCTAATATATGGTTTAATTCTCTTGATCCTGGTTGTGTGCGTAGTCCCCAGGATATGATGTATTACTTCTCTGCTAAATATTTCCCTGCTCATAAGAAACAAGTTGCCTTAAGGGATATATATAATTTTGTGCAAATTAAAGAAGAGAGTCTCCCACAAGCTTGGGGGAGGCTTCTCCAATTACTTAATGCTTTGCCTGATCCTCCTCTTAAGAAAAATGAAATACTTGATATCTTTTATAATGGACTAACTGATGCTTCCACAGACCACCTAGATAGTTGTGTTGGTTCTGTTTTCAGGGAAAGAACACCGGATGAAGCTGAAATTCTATTGAATAATATGTTGACAAATGAAAATAATTGGACACCTCCTGAGCCTATTCCTAAACCCACTCCGAAGAAAAGGGTGTTCTATTTCTCAGTCCTGAAGATATGCAAGAGGCAAAGAAATCCATGAAAGAAAAGGGTATTAAAGTTGAAGATGTTAAGAATTTACCTCCTATTGAAGAAATACATGGTCTTAATTTACCGCATGTTGAAGAAATATATGGTTTTAATCCATCAACTATTGAAGAAACACATGGTCTTGATAACCCGACACAGGTAGTAAAGGTAAATTCTCTATATAGATATGATAAAGCTGAAATCCCTCCTACTAAATTTGCTAGCCAATGTTTGGATGAGTTTGATAACTTTATGGTTAAGCAAGAAGACTTCAATGCTTATTTTGGTAGACAATTGAAACAAAATGCTTATATGATTGAACACTTGGGTGATTATATGTCTAGAGTTAAAGGTGAACTTAAACTCATTAGTAAACATGCTTCTATGGTTACCACTCAAGTAGAACAAGTACTTAAAGCTCAGAATGATTCGCTCAGTGAATTAAATAGTAAGAATAATGATAATGTTGTTAGAGTTATGACTAGAGGTGGTAAAATGACCCAGGAACCTTTGTATCCTGAGGGCCATCCTAAGAGAATTGAGCAAGATTCTCAAAGAAATGATATTGATGCACCTAGTCCTTCTAAGAGGAAGAAAAAGAAAA